GGCGCCCACTTCCTTGCAGCTTTGAGGTAAACAACTCCATATTAGGCAGTGCTTGGCGGGACTGTGGGTCCTGGGCTTTGCGCATGCGCGAGCCACGTAGAGTCCCCAGCCAATCCCGTGGCACCTGGTGACGGTGAAAGGCAGATGACCAATGATAGAACGACCCGTGTTCCTATTCCCTATATAAGCGGCCACATTTTCGTGTAAGGGGTCTCTCGCTCAAGCTCTCCTAGCAACTCAAAAGATCTCCAATAAAGTGTGATCTGAGAAGACTCCTGGTGTGGTGGTCGTCCTTCCTTGCTGGTCGAGAAGGCGTTCGCCGCACCAATCTGCAATTTTATCATGGCTTCCTTTAGTTATGACTACTCTGCTCTCTTTTCAGTTTACCAAGCCCTCAAAAGTCACTTCCCAGGATAATAAGCACAAGAAATGTAAAGTCTTCAGAGAAACTCTTACCCTCTAGAGATTTGTCCTTTTGAAACATTATCCCTAAAAACACTCTGCAAGAAGCATTCTACGTGAAAACACTACATCCAGAATGAAGATTTGAAAAATACAAAAACTAAGGTTCAGCATATAAAGCTTAATGTTTTAAAAATGAAAAAAAATCATTCAAAAAATGAGTGGATCCAAAAATGGTGGTACCTATACACAACGGAATTTTACACAGCCATTAAAAGAATAATATTATGTCATTTGAAGGAAATGGATGGACCTAGAACAAATCATGTTAAGTGAGGTAAGCCAAGCTCAAGAGACAAACAGTATGTGTTTTCTCTCATACATGGAAGCTAGATCTAAAATACACTGGGATATAATAAATTATACCAATGTTTAGGCATTCACACACAGTGAGACCAAAAGAAGACACTATTAGGAGAGGAACACAAAGGCACAAAGCCTATGTGCATCTGATCATACAAAATTATATTTATTGCAATGAACTCCAGAAAATAGAAAAAAGAGATTTTTTTTTTTGGTCCGGTCATGGGGCCTGAACTCTGGGCCTGGGCGCTGTCCCTCAGCTCTTCAGCTCAAGGCTAACGCTCTACCACTTGAGCCACAGCATCACTTCCGGCTTTTTTTTCTTTTTGCTTATGTGGTGCTGAGGAATCGAACCCAGGGCCTCAGGCATGCAAGGCAAGCGCTCTACCACTGAGCCACCTTCCCAGCCCGAAAAAAGAGATTTTTTTAAAAGAAAATGAAAAATTCACAATTGTTCAAACCATAAACTTTTCCAAAATGATGAGTTTGACAGAAAACAGAATGACTCTTCTTGTTGATGATGCCACAAAACAAAGTTAACAGTCAAAAGAAAATAGCTGTAACGATTCAAACCAATAACAGGTTAAGACTTATAAGGAGCTTCTACAAATCAACAAGAAAAGATAAGATATATGAGAGTAACAGAAAAACAGAAGGGGCAAACTTAATGAACAGGTAACTCACAAAGCAGAAATTCAAGTGATTCATTCATTCAAGAAACCATGCTGATTCTGATAGTGAATAGAGTAATGATGCATTCTCAGTCCACTCAAAATCCTGGTGAAGAGCTAGAGATGCTTAATGGTAGCACATTTGCCTGTTATGCGCAAGGGTCTGGGTTCAACAATCCAAATTCCCATGAATAACAAATATCACCAAAATGTCCCTAAATATCTATTTAATATGTCAGTATTATGTATTAAAACACTATTTAATAGTAGTGAACTCATAAGAGGACATGTTTGCCTGTAGAATAGGACAATGCAATAGTATGTGTCAAACTGAAATTTCTGGATAAAGATAATAAAATGGAATAAGCTGAAAAACACACAAAAGATGTCAAGTATACCTCTAACAATGATCATAATAAAAGAAAATGGGTTAAATTTCAATAAAAAGATAAAAGTTATCAAGTTTACACACATATACACAGTTACTTGTATGTTGGCATGAGTGTAAGGAAAAATAATTCAAAGTGTTTTAATGCATTGGAATGAATGAAGATATATACAAGGAAAGTATTAGCCACAGATATTTTATATTATCATGTTTATTAACTCTAAGATGCTGTGGATTGTGAGATATACATTTATTTTATGTACTCAAAAGAAAGAGACAACACAACTTTGATACAATGCTTTCTTCTTTTTTCATGAGAAATGTTCAAGTTTTTTTGCAATTTAAAAAACCAGTTTATGAGTACAACACATCTTGGTCAATGTCTTAAGAACCAGTGGAGGTGATAGAAACAGAGTAGAGTAGTACAGGGGAATAGAAACAAGAAGCTTCTTTTCAACAGCTAAAACTTGTTTAGTAAAATTAATAAGCACACTTAAAATTTTTAAAAAATTTATTAAGCAGATATTTTTCATATTTTTCATGTTTTTTCATATTTATTTCAATTTATTATTCAAATTATTTATTTCAATTTTTATTTTTTCATATTTATTCAATTTATTAAGCAGATATGTTTCATATGTATATTTCATACATTTTTCATATGTATTTCATATGTTTCATATGTTTTTACTATAGTAAAATATTGTAGTACATGTCCAATAAATACTAAGAGAAAATGCTGTAAGTTGTAGACATTTATTAAAAATAAAAATCAAAGGAAACAACACAAATTATTAAAGGGGTTGAGCTCCTTCCGCTAGAAAAAGTCCAGGTAGTGTCAGAAGTGTTAGGTGTATTCATAGCTCTTTGTTTGGTAGCCATCTACCCCATCTGGTCCAAGAGCACCTCAGTTAATGCCCATCAATGCAGGGCAATTGTTAACAGAGGCTCTATCCTTCCTTTAAATGCAGTGGTCACTCAACAGCTCTAGGGAACTCATTTACACAGAGAAAGACAGGGGAGAAACAAGTCAACTTAAAAAAAACAGAATTAATTTTATTGTAAAGGTAATGTTCAGAGGGGTTACAATTACATAAGTAAGGTAATGAGTAAATTTCTTTTTGAACAGTGTTACCCCCTCCCTCATTTTCTCCTCCTTTCCTTCTCTCACAAACCCGCCTCCCAAGTTGTAAAGTTCATTTCCAACATAGTGTCCAGTGAGTATCGCTGTTGCATTGATTCACCTTTTGTCCCACTGGTTCTGTGTTTTCCTTTCCCTTCCTCCAACCAGATAAACTTATATACAAGACAAAGAATACCAAAATCAGAAACAGTGACCACAGGAAATAAACTAGAAAGGAAAATTATGCTAGACAAGAGCAATAACTCGCAAACAGTACACTAAAAAAGAAAAAGAGAAAATGACAACAAAAAAAACCCTCTTTTTTCCATAACATGGAGTTCATTTAGATTATCATCATTTTATATGGTCATATATACATAGCTATTGGACTATTGTAATCCTCTGCTAGGACTATCCTAAACTAATTATTTCAAATGACGGAAATCATGGAGCCTATGTTTCTTTGGGTCTGGCTTACTTCACTTAATATGATTTTTTCCCCAAGTCTTTCTATTTCCTTTTGAATGAGGCTGTGTCATTCTTTCTGATGGGAGCATAGAATTCTATTGTGGATATATACGACATTTTCTTGATCCATTCATCTACTAAGGGGCATCTGGGTTGATTCCATATCTTAGTTATGGTAAATAATGCTGCAATGAGCATGGTGGTGCTGGTAGCTTTAGTGTGGCCTTGTTTGTGATCATTTGAGTAAATGCCCAGGAGTGGGATTGCTGGGTCATAGGGAAACTCTATATTTAGTCATTTAAGGAACCTCTATACAAATAATAACAGATGCTGGCAGGGATGTGGCCAAAAGGGAACACTGTTCATGGGGATGTAAACATGTTCAACCACTCTGGAAAGCCTATGTTTTTATAGGAACTATGGGAAAAATAGCATCAGGGAGTGTTGTGTTGTCATCAAGAAAAATATCATATCAAACAGGTTACCTAAGGGCAGAAAGCAGAGATGTCAGCAGAGGGTCCCTGGAAATTATTGGTATGCTTCAGAAAACAATATCTCTATTTTTCCAAAACAGAGGGACAAGTAAAAATATGACTAAAATATGCAAAGTCATAACAGGACTATACAAATTATTAATATCAATTGATATAATATATGAACAAACTTTGTTAAGAAAGATTGGGAAAAGGACAACCCTTCAAAATAAATAACCTTTTCATGGGAAAAACTCACAGGGGGTTCACACAAACCCTAGCCAGTTGTGGCAAAGGGATTTTTGAGCTGTCTGTGTTACTGTCTTGTGTTCCTATGCACTGAAATATGGACTAAACTTCCTATTAATGGCATCCTGTTTGTTTCTCCTTACTTCCCTCCTCCACCCCTGCTCCAATGTTTTCCCAGTGAACTTGCTGATTCCTTTCAGGAGTAAAAGACTTTTTGTAAGACTATTTTATAAACTGTAAATTTTCTTATAAATGCAAGAAATCAATATCATGACCATAATTTCTTACTACTGTAATAAAAGTGACAATGAGAGGAGAAAAAATATTCCAAAAAACTCACTCCTCTGGAGACACAGTGCTAACACTTTAGATGAAAGCATTATAAACAATAAGGCATCAACAGTTCTTCATCCAGCCAGCTCAAGAATACAAACTTTACTGAAAGAGAAGCCAAACTTAGGGAGCAGGACTCAGTTGCCTTTTTGGTCTCTCCTTTTTGTTGTAACTTCTGTGTTTCTTTTAGTTGTTAGGTTTCAAAGGGTCTTGATACAACACCACAGAGCAATGTATCTGAAAATCCGGAGATCTGGACATAAAATGAGGCAGTTATCATCCTCATTCTCAAGTGATGCCTTATTGGGAGCAGGGGGAGGGCAAGTCATCCTTGAATTGAGCTAAGATTTTATTGGATTTCCCTTTTAACCTGGTTTCTGTTCTTGAAAATTGGGCACAATTGTGACAATTCTGCCTCTTCTTGTTGGGTGGATTTGAATGACCATGTCATCCAGACTTCAAGAACTAAAATGGAGGAAGCAAAGGCAGGATTCTCTTCATGGGAAGCATTCCCCAACATCAGACTGACCTTAATGCACTGCAGTCAATTCAAAGTCAGTAATGTAGGTCTGCCCCAATTCTTGGGTCATAAAGAGTGGACAGCCCCCTTTGGAGCAAATGCCAATGAACCAGCCAGGGAAGGCCACAGACTCAAAGGCTGAGGTCCTGGCACTCACACTGTGGTAGAAAAGAAAGGGCTTCACAGGCTCTGTTTGGTTGTACAGCTCCATTATGGTCCCTTCCTAGAGGATGAAAAGGAGATCCCAGTGGAAAACATTACTGCCAGAATAGTTCCACATTCCCTTGCCTACTAATATTCCTGTCCAAAGTCACATTCCCCATTCTCTTAAGCAAGCCTGGACACATCTGGTGGTGGAGATGAGCCACATATCTCAGTGTTCTTAATGTAAGCCTCTGAGAGAAGATACTGACACCAAAGTTTCTGAAATGACAAAGCACTGGTTTAGCTACTGTCTCTTGCCTACAAAAGGAGAAACCCAAAGAATATTTACAAAATAGTTGCCATGAAATTTGATAAAAATGTAAACATTTTAGTCAGATCTCTCCAATCATAGCACTATTGATATTTTGGATGGGACAATTCTTTGTTGTCAGGTTCACAATTCTCTGTTGTGCTTTGGAGGATGTTGAATAGCATTTCTGTCTTCTACCAGGTAAACACAAGTAGCATACCATAGTCTCTTGTTGTGATAACCAAAAGGATCCAGATGTTGTCAAATGAGCAAATTATCACTAGGTGAAAACCATTATTTTATGTCTTTCCAACAAATACAGTGTCTGCCTATACTTGTTTACCAAAAATGTTGAGAGTCTTCCTAGAATGCCCAGAGGACTAGTTTAATTATTTCATTATAATCTATAGTAATTTAGCAATGGGAAAATCACAATTGTTAAAGATGTTTGCAATAGAGATTTCTTTGTTCACTTAATATTGTGACTATGTTTTGTCAGTTGGACATTTTAAGATGACAGGATATGGTAGTGAATGCTTGTAATTCCAAGGGAGACTGAAGCAGGAAGATCTTAAGTTTGAGGCAAGCCAGGGTTACACATTGAATTCAAGGATAGCATGGGTTATATAGTGAGACACTGCCTAAAAGGGAGACAGACAGACAGAGACAGCGAGAGCTTTTAAAAAGATAAAAGAAAAGGCTGGGTGCCGGTGGCTCACACCTGTAATCCTAGCTACTCACAAGGCTGAGATCTGAGGATCACAGTTCAAAGCCAGCCCTGACAGGAAAGTCCGTGAGACTCTTATCTTTAATAAATTACCAGAAAACCAGAATTGGGCTATGGCTCAAGTGGTAGAGCTCTAGTCTTGAGCTGAAGAACTCAGGGACAGCACCCGGGCCCAGAGTTCAAGCCCCATGACCGGCAAAAAAA